AGGGTATGGTATAGATTGATTAAATGATTTAATGATTTTGATTGATTGATTGATTGATTGATTGATTGATTGATTGATTGAATGAATGAATGAATGAATGAATACAATGTGGACAGTTGCTCCTAGAATATTGTTCTTCTAGTCTATATTTTGACATCAATGGGCGAAGACTTTGCCTATTCTTTCTGTGATTTTTCATCTGGTTGATATGAACCCAAACTTTACCTTTGGCAAACCATGAGCCTACCCAAGTTCAAGAAATTAATTTCTTTTCCCAACCTGCCTGTCTCTAAGTAATATAAAAGTTAATTCTGTTGGTGGGAACTCAAGAGATTTAATTTGTCTTGAGAACAAAAGTTTTTGTTATGCCAATTTGTTCATAAAAATACTATTTCAGTCCCTCACCACTTAGCGCCATAAGGGCTAAAGCAATATGTAAATCTTACTAATAAATAAATCTGCTTCTGGATGCAGAATGTTTTGCTTGTACATTCATAGAAGTCACTAGATCTTGTGTTATTTCATGTAAATCAAGTGTCTACCAATAGATTTTGAGTCACATTCTCATAATAGCCAAGTGTTTTTTCATCTGAGACATTTGGAATAATTTTAAAATAAACTTGGGCTAGCTGTTCAGAATTTAGCTTGGCCAGAGACTGGTTCACTTTTGCTGTCCGCAAAATAATAGTATTTTTTTTTTTTGTATAGTAAATAATCTAATATCTAGATTGGCCAGTGTTGGGCAGAGATTTTCTATAAACCTGTCTTCAACAAGAGAATGGAGGTATAATGTTAAGGTGATCATCACTATCAGGACAACCCCTAATTTTGATATTTATCACTTTGCTTAAGAGAGACTCTGATATAATCAATAGTACTTTTAATTTAATAAAACCTTTCTGGCAGGTTTTGAAATTTAGTGCATTCATTGTAATTCTTACTTTATATTTCAAAGACATTGATATCTAAAAAGTATTAGAGCTAGTAATAAGTACTGGCCTAGTCGAAGGGGTCTTCCTTTCTCTGTGAAGTAGCCAGTAACATGCAGAGCTAGTCTGTAAGCAAGTAAAGTGCCCCGGCCAGAACAGACAAGAGCATCTGAGGCAACCTTACAGGAAAAGTCTACTTTCAAACTGCAGCAGGAAAATGCACAGGGAAGTCCAATCAGCAGTAGAAGGAAGGTCAGTAAAGGCAGATGTCTGTTTCTACCCTCAAAACATGGTTGTTGACCCATTCTGGCAATAGGGTAACCAGGCAATGCAGATTGAGATGTTTACCAAAGTAAACTAGCGATCGCTATGATTAAACTGAAATCTGAACCTGGGTCTCTTCACTCCCACCCATCAACTGAACCACAGGGTCAACCTGAATCTCTGATTTAAAATTCCAGGTAAACAACTCATGGTGCAGTTCTTCCAAAGCCTTTATTACAGATAGCTTAACGATTGTAGCAGGTTTTTCTTGTGGAAAGGAGACACATTGAGGAGCCACCAGGATGAGGCACTATAGAGCTCATATTCACAGGTCTCTGCATCTACCACAGTTGTGCATCGAGGAATATCATATACACCACCATACCTTTTAAAACACACACACACACAAAATTTCATAATACAAATTGACATTTCTTTTAAACTTGGAAAATTAAGCTAGCCAAAACTTTGGCAACATTCGTTTTATAAAGTAGCTACAGTTGTGCCCATCATAATTTTAGCCAGTCTTATATTAACTTGCAAAAATAGCTGTTCCTGAATGTGGAAATGAGGTTGGCCCTTGCTTTGCTTTGCTTTTGACAGCCATTAAAAACTGATTTGTACTCAGACTTTTCATATGGTATGATTATTTAATATAGCTGCAGGGATTTCTGGCAAATACAATATTCTTGCTGGGAATGCATCACAGTGAATGGCACAGGCAATGATAAAAATTAGGAAAAATTAAAAGAAAAATAAAGCCAAATAGAAGTACCTGGGGCTATAAATTAAAAAATTAACCATTACACTGTTGGAAGTAGATGTGTACAATCAATCCCAATATATTCTATATACTCGCATAAAAGCCCATCCGCACGTACACTGACCTTCAAATTTTTTACCAAATTGCCACGAAAAATGCGCCACCCGCAGATAAGCTCACCTGCATAAAAGAGAAATTTTCATTTGCTTCTATAGGCTCCTTGTTTTCAATTCAGTTACCTTGTCTTTCATATAGGAAGATGTATAATACTTGGTCGTGCTACCATATTTTAAAAGAATTTATAAAACACGCTGTTTTCAACATGTTTCCTACCTGGTGCAGCAATGCATTCCACCCAATTCACAGGAACATTGATAGCAATCAGCTGTATCCCACTGAGTTGCTGATGAATACTTTGTTTTATCTTAATAGTCAATGCATGCTATCTGGAGTTGTTATGCTTTCTAGGGGAGAAAGTTCCAATCAGTCTTATCTGACCATGAGATCTCTCATGAACCTAAAAGAAGTTATACCTTAGAGAACATTTCATGAGAAATCGTTGCAAGTGACCTGCTGTTGGACATGCAGTTCAGGAGTTGGAACTCTAATTCATTAGGTTTGGGCTTGTCCTACTATTTACCCTATTTTGGATTGAAAGTTCACAGGGTTGTCGACATGGCTTTAGATCAGCTGATATATTTTTCAAACTGGAGATACTGACAGCTGAATCCAGAAACTTGCTAAATGTGTATAGGTTTCCTCTTAAGAACTTTTGGGCTTCTTTTTATCATTGGTATTTGTCCATTCTAAATGTAAGAGTTCTCCTAATTGTAAATTGGTTGCTGAAAATAATAAAATTATTAATTATTACTACCATGGGATTAAAGACTCAGTGAAGCCATATTGAGTATGGTGATGTGCAAGGCACACAATTCAAAGAAATAGAGAAGGGCACCGTAGGCATAATATTAGCATTTATAATCTCTGCTTCATACAGTACTTGGAAGCAAGTTCCATGGCACAGAGTAAGGGTGATGTATAAGTCAAGTAGATTGAGAAGGAGGTTCTGGAAAAGATCAGATTTTATTTTTAACCTTATTTACAGCAATTTTAGAACACTTAAAATTGAACCTATGTTCCTTTTTGGGTTCTTATGTATTTTCTCTTGATTTTAATGTTTTTATTTGTGAATTGCCCAGGCAGCATACACATTTAAATATGACTTCTGCAAAGTGACAGAAAAATTGGTAAAGAAGACACTGCCCAGATACTGGGGGTAAATCTACCTCAGAAATACATACACTGATAAAGTTATTTGATACAAGTGTTAGTCTACTCAATTACTTCATTTACTAGATTTATATCCCACTTTTCATTCAGAGGCTCAAGGCAGCTCCCTTCTCTCAATTTTCCCCACAACAAACCTGTGAAGTAGGGCAGGCTGAGAGAGAGTGACTAGTCCAAAATCACTCAATGAGCTTCCATGGGTTCAAGTCCTCCACCCCCAGTGCAACCCCACACTAGCTGTTGACTGTGTAAATGCCATATTTGCCTATTTTAACCTATATTTTGGTTTACCAAAAAGAAAAGACACCGTGGTTTGTTCGTTTTTTCCCCCAGAGCTGTGTTTCTTGATCTTTTTTCTCTCAGGACC